CTCGGTAATTCGTTATTATTCAGCTATTCTGCCAAAATGTCGAAACAATATCTAAGATACTTCTTGAAGTATCAAGTTTGGTTCTTACTTCAGCACAAATTATATAATAATCTCTGTACCTTGATTGCCAACCACGGCATTCAAGACAAATGGAACACAATGGAGTAATGGTGAAAAATTATGGCTGCAGATAATAATAAATATATTTAAAAACATGTCCTGCATTGAACCTTATTATCACTAAATGAAGTAACGAGTGCCAGTAAAAAAATTAAAATAATAAATGTGTAAGCAACCTGAGGTGCAAGTTCATACAAGGTACAATAATAAATGTGTGTATATACTTGAGGATAAGAACTGTAGGTGTCCCGTTATTGCATATCGTGATTTGTTAAAATGCGCTCAAATTTGTGTATTTTATTGCGTTATCGTTACTCATAGTAAGAAATATTATAATGGGAAATAAGCAATGTTATTATATATCATGTTATGTTATTATATATCATGATTCGAACTTACTTCGGCCGCAGCCATTCCGATATATATTGGGAAAATGGCCCTAGTATTTAACGCACTATCTCTCGAACGAGTTTGAATGTCTTTATATATATACCAATCAAGACTTGATTATCATTTGTTCAATTAGAATGCGATGAACTAACTTGGAGAGTTATGTGTATGGATATGGGTAAATAAATTTAGAAATGGATCGACCCTCGTTAGTGGGAATGGGTTCGAAGCTAATTTTTAAATTCTCGAAACTCGAATCCGAAATTTTGTAAAATTCCGGAATTTTCAGATCTCTCGATACTCTTGAAATTTGAAGTGCTGATTTTATAGGAAGAATTTCTTGCTTTAAGAACTAAAGTTATATATAAGAATTTTTATTGGTCACAAAAGTTAAACAAAGTACAAACAAAAACGTAACAACATACAAAAACATCTAATTTAGATTTTTGTTTACGACTATATTTTGTTTAGACTAACAATCGAACTATTTATAGATCTAATCTATTTTTTTTTTTTTTTTATCGACTAAATGTCTTTCAGAGTATATCATTGATAGTAACAAGATACTTCTTTTTTTTATAATCATTTTAGTTTTAAATATTTTACATTATCATTCCAAAATTGTGATCGATTGCATATATTCTTAAAAACAAATCGCGTTTGCAAAGCATCTCATATTCGAAATACACATGAATTAAACTTTTTTTTTTTTATTCACGTTGCAAATAACTCTATATTTATTGATTTTAAATTTTTCCTTATCTGAGTTTCGAGAGTTTAAAATCACGAAAAAAATATGAATGTTCATGTGAATTTTTCAAATTTGAAACTTATTTGGATTTTGAGATGTTTCAGTGTTTCGAGTAATCCATCCCTATTTGTTACTATTAAATACATAATTATCTAATAAGTAACACTAACAAATGTGGACGTACTTTTATGCAAAAAATTAATATTAGAATTTTTAATTCGCTTTTTGTTATTTGTCTATATTCAATCCATTTGAACTATATTTCATGTTGTATACTATTTTATTACACTTATTAAAAACTACTGACTCTAATTTTGCATCAACTACGTTGTAGCTATTACTTGTCAAAGATATATTTTACTGAAAAGAAAAAATAAGTTTTGATTCAATAGTAATTATTTCAATATTTTTCACGCTTTACAGTCTTTTAAATTTTATTATTTACAATATGTATAAAATTATTAAAAAATAATAAAATTTGATCATATATTTTCTCAAACTTTTTTTATATTTAATTTATTTTTACATACATATAATTGTTATGTACAATTATGATGATGTTAAAAATATAAAACATAGGATATACCGATTCGAAATTTAGTATAATTTTGTGAATAATATTGGAAACAAAGTAATCATATGTGCGCAATTAATGATTGCATAAAACCAATAAATAAAGTTTCCAAAATTATCTGTTGACGCATAATTACGTGTAGAAAATTACGTAGAGTATAATAGAGAAGCAAAGCTTATTGTCTAATTTATTTATATTCATCAATATCATTCTTTGAAATTATAGAATAATGAGTGATACATTTCTATCATATTTTCTATCTGTCACACAATTTACAAAATGAACTATATATTTAGCTAAATAATAATAGTCATTAACTATCGCACGAAACAAATATTAATTTAAAAAACAAATTCCTACGATTTGTATGATTTTTTGAGAATTATAAAATTTAAAGAAATTTTATAAAGTTGAAGATATGGGGTATATCATGATCATAACATGTGGTACCTACTTCAGAAGTGAACAGGGGTTACAATGAAAAATGTTCATGTATGAACATGTGTCCTATTTGACTTTATTTCAAAGTTATAGCCTTGATCTATATATAAACTTGTAGTATTAAAGAATTTCACAATCTTTTAAAAATTCCAAATATATGTCCTTACATATTACTAAATTTATATTAAATTATATTTCTCCAGCTAAATAACTTCATTTTCTAGATAAACAATTTTCTGATAACTTTTTATATAAATATTAAGAAAAAAATAATATAAAAATGAAAATTATTTTTTAAAAAGAATTTTAAAACTTTTCTATTAAGGCCAAGAATCACTACGTGAAACAATAGGCTAGGCGAAAGATTTCCTCCTAACATTTTAACACGTGTCTAACATTTTAATTATTTCTTTTGAAATTCTTTTCACGCGATGCTTAGTTTACAATAAAATAAGAATTGCGTTATCATGTAAGAAAGGATTGCAACATTTTAATTCTCGATAATATTTACCTTTCAGAATACAACTCACAAATCTTCAAAAATCTTAATACTATCGTACAAATTAGAAAAATTCCTTATGAATTATATTTAAAAAATACATCTTTTAGATAGAATTTTCGCAAAATTGAAAATTGCGAAGTTGAAACAATGTCTTACCTATTGATAATGATAACGTTTTCAAAGACGATAGTTTCTCTAGTACATAATTCATAACTCGCAATCACACATTTAAACACGAGTAAAAAAATAATATTTCTTCTTTTATAAATAAAAATGAAACATATCGACAATTAAAAAGAATATATTATAATCTTTCTTTCTAATTAATTCATTTATCATTTTTAATCCTGTCACATGTTATATTTAATATAATGTAGGAACTTTACCATATCAGTCGCGCGTATGTTTGTCGGGAAGTAACAAACCAACAAGCGTAAAACATAAATACCAAATGAAACTTCAACCTAACGACAATTCAAGCGCTAAGAATTAATAACTTATTCTATAATACTCACCCTGCCATGTTTGCCATTAATTCTCTTAAAATTACTCAAATAATCTCTGAACCGAATGGAATTTATGAGAGCTGCACGATGAATCTACAGAATCAAGTATAAGATAAATAAGTAACGCAGCAACCATCGAAAAATATTCTTTGTTCATAAATATGTTTGCAAGACTCACCCGTGGATTTGTACTATATTTGCGAATATACTTCAATAGTGCCTGCTTGCAGTAGCTTAAACGACTGTTGGAACACTTGACGAATTTCTGTTTTCCTTTCTTTCGTTCCTTTCTCTCAGTTTCTGGGAATAACATCGTCAAACTTGTGAAACAAATACTTGGATAGTATTATTATTCATCATTAATGAGTAATTTCGATCGATTTCTGACCGATCACGTCTAACCGAAATAGGAAAATTGATTTAAGGCTTCAATGACAATATTATGTTTGAATTTGTAATCGTAAACGAACAACTGACTAGGTCATATACAGGGTGTCCCAAATTAAATAATTTTGGGAACGTGTAAAGGGAACGACTAAACTAAAGGAAAATAGTCCTTTAGAGATTTGCTTGTTTTTACTTCATTTTAGAGAAAATCGTGTAAAAAGAAACGAAAGAATTTTCAGTTTCTCGTTTGTTCGATGTCGATCATTTAGGTAAAAGTAACAATGAGATACTAAATCGTATCAAATAATGTTTAGCTACAATTAAACTTTCATTAATCCCTCGCAGACAATTATTTACATTTCTCGCACCTTTACGAGCAGTCTGGCTTATTTCCGGCTAGTTTTTTTTCTGGTTTTGAAAATTCTGAAAAAAATTCTGAAATATTGATTGAAGTCTCTATCTTAGTATACAATCGGAGTTTAAATTAAATATTCGAAAGAACAATTAGCAAAAATAAAAATTCATTTCGAAGAAATTCAAGAATGAAATTTAACATCGGACACAAACGATCTAGATTGACCGCAGAGAGTAAATAGATATTATAAGATAATAATATACATGATGAAGTAGACAATAACACAAATAAGTATATACAAATAAATAAATAAAAAAACGAAAACTTTTTTATTTCTCTCTTCACGATTTCCTTTAAAATACAGCAAAAACGAGCAAAGGATCTTTTTATTAGTCCCAAAGTTTTGACATTTAAATTTGAGAGACCTTGTATAACACATACTTAGTAAGATATACGTAGAATATATGTATAACTTGGTAAATTATTTCATTGTTGTAGTATGAAGTTAATAACATAGTAAAACAAATTAAAAATATTATTAAATGAAAAAATTTGTTTTCCTGCAATAACAATTTCAGATTCTTTACTTAATATTATAATATTATTTAAGATTATTTACTTAATATGATAATAATATGGTAATAATTTTCTTTTTTAGAACATTTTCTAATTAATGAAATAATTTGATTTTACCTTGTTGTCTCCTATTTCGTAATGTGTTTTAATGTACATTAACATTAGAACTACCAACAATTAAAATATAAAACTTGCAAATATTCAGAGAAATCCAAATGCAAGAAATTAATATATAATTTACGAAAAATTATTCGAGTCTCTAAGAATACAGTTTTGTGAATCTACAAAATTTCCACAAAGAATTACGAATTGCTCATTTTGACCATATCCCTAGTTCTAGTATTAAATTCGAATTGAACACCGCTGTTAGTAGACAACACGCATGTGCAGTAGACAACTGTCAGATTCGAAGAAATCGTGTAGAAACAACCAAACATAACCTTCGATTAATGTACAAAAGAGTACAGGCTATTAACGTGCTGTTAACGTAGTTTCCAGCTTTTACAAATACATATTTTTATTAGCATACATATAAAATATATCACGATAAATAACAATTTATTACAAGATTCTATTCTGAATTGAAATGGAGGAAATGGATATAGAAAATGAAAAGAACGAGGATAAGAATTTGTGCGAGGATTTAGAGAATGACGAAGAGGTCAAGTCAAAAGTGATTGAAAATGAGACAGAAGAAAATATGGACGATGAGCTTGATGATGATCAGGATGAAGATGATGAAAATGATGAAGATGATGAAGAGGATGCGGACGAGGCAGAGGTTAAAGCTTTAGAAACTTCTCTTGCTCAAAATCCATATGATTATACAAATCACGTAGCCCTTATCAATAAATTGCAAAAAATGGGCGAGTTAGAACGACTACGTACTGCTAGAGAAAACATGAGCTCTAAATATCCTTTGAGCCCTGAACTCTGGCTATCTTGGATGCGCGATGAAATTAAACTAGCTGTAACGCCAGAGCAAAAATCGGAAATAGTGAAACTATGTGAACGAGCTGTCAAAGATTATCTTTGTAAGTGAGTTGCTTTCAATGTAGTAAATATATTGTAAATTGTTATATAATGAAATGTTTGCCATAGGTGTAGAAGTATGGTTAGAATATCTGCAATTTAGTATTGGTAATATGGGTACTGAAAAGGATGCAGCAAAGAATGTTCGACAATTATTTGAACGAGCATTAACAGATGTTGGACTACATACTATTAAGGGTGCAATAATATGGGAGGCATTTCGAGAGTTTGAAGCTGTGTTATATGCATTGGTAAGTACAGAATGATAGAAAGAGAATTAAAATTCTTTCAAAACATATTTTTATACTTAGATTTCACACGTTTAGATTGATCCTTCGAACCAAGCCGAAAGAAAAGAACAATTGGAACGTATTGGTAACCTATTCAAAAGACAATTGGCTTGCCCTCTTTTAGATATGGAAAAAACATATGAGGAGTATGAAACATGGCGTAATGGAGATGGCGCGGAAGCTATTATTGATGATAAAATTGTTACTATAGGATATGAACGTGCATTAGCAATGCTTAATCTCCGTTTACCTTATGAGGAGAGAATTGTGTCTGCACAAACTGAAGAAGAACTTCTAGATTCATATAAAATGTATTTGTCATATGAGCAACGTAGTGGAGATCCTGGACGAATAACGGTTTTGTATGAAAGAGCAATCACTGATCTTACTTTAGAGATATCAATTTGGCTTGATTATATTAAGTATTTGGAAGAAAATATTAAAATTGAATCTGTCTTGGATCAAGTGTATCAAAGATCTTCAAGAAATATTCCATGGTGTGCAAATATATGGCAAAAATGGATGAGGTCATATGAAAAATGGAATAAACCAGTATTAGAAATTCAAATGTTGTTAGAAAATGCTTTAGCGACTGGATTCTCTGCTGCAGAAGATTATAGAAATTTATGGATAACGTATTTGGAATATTTACGACGAAGAATTGATCGATTATCTTCCAATGAAGAAAAGCAGTTAGAAACATTACGCAATACTTTCAATAGAGCCTGTGAACATTTAGCAAAATCATTTGGCTTAGAAGGAGATCCCAATTGCATTTTATTACAATACTGGGCAAGAACTGAAGCTATACATGCTAATAACATGGAAAAGGCTAGATCATTATGGGCCGATATTTTATCACAAGGACATTCTACAACGGCATCTTACTGGTTGGAATATATTTCATTAGAAAGGTAATTTTTTGTATTTATTTCAAATAAATATAACAGCTTATAATGTGTAAGATTTTATTTTGAACTAAAAATTAAATTTCTTTTTGTATAGATGTTATGGAGATACAAAACATTTAAGAAAATTATTTCAAAAAGCTTTGACCTCGGTGAAAGATTGGCCAGAAAGTATAGCAAATTCTTGGATAGATTTTGAACGAGACGAAGGAACACTAGAACAAATAGAAATATGTGAAACACGAACAAAAGAAAAATTAGAAAAAGTTGCTGAAGAAAGACAAAAAACACAACAAATTTCTAATCATGAATTATCGTCATTACAAAACAAGAAAACTTTTAAGAGGAAACAAGAAGAAACTGGCAAATGGAAAAATTTAAGTAGTTTCCCGATAAAAATTACGAAGGTTGAAACACAAGTAAAACCAAAAATGAAAGAAAATCACGTGAACTTCGAAAAAAAACTCGACGTTGATGTAGAACAAAAATCAAAAATTATTCCACCACCTGGCTTCAAAGCACCAGAAAATGAAAAAATGGATATAGACAATACACAAGAAGTGGATGATAAAATTACAGTTTTCATAAGTAATTTAGATTACACTGCAACTGAAGAAGAGGTCAGAAATGCTTTAAAACCAGCAGGACCGATTACAATGTTTAAAATGATACGAGATTATAAAGGACGTAGTAAAGGATTTTGCTATGTGCAACTTAGTTCCACGGTACAAAATTTTTTTTTAATTAAAAATTAAATGTTTACTCAAATGTTTAATTAAAAATATTTTATAGGAAGCAGTTGCTAAGGCTTTACAACTAGATAGAGTTTCTATAAGAGGACGGCCAATGTTTGTTTCAAAGTGCAATCCAAACAAAACGACACGAGGCCCTGGTTTTAAATATAGTTGTTCTCTGGAGAAAAACAAACTTTTTGTTAAAGGTATGTAATATTTAACCCTAGTTGGTATTGTTGAATGAACAGATGAATCAGAATAATTTCAAACCTTTATTTCTTGATTGCTAACTGTTCATTTTTTGAAATTTTATTAATAAAATAAATATCTTTATTAAGATATTAATATTTTGAATCTTCAACGGAAATATATTTGAATTACATTTGGCTTATATTTAACATAATAATTGTGTTTATTTCTTGAAAAATAAATAATGTAAAGTGTCTAAATATTTAATATCAACAAAATCAGCAAAGATTAAAAGCAATTTATCTAATTTAGATAATACTAAGAGATTGACTAAATAAAAATAATGGAGATTTCAATGTTTAAAATATATAAAATGGTACAGCAAAAATTGAAAATAATGGAGAAATTTTTATTAGAAAAGAAAATAAAAAATATCAGACTCTAAAGTGGTCTCATAAGTTCTAAAATCTGAACTGAAGGTATATATTAAAACAAGTCTTGGGTTAAAGGCAGTTATTGAATCAAAAAAGTAAATATCTTTTAAATAAATATAAAATACAGAGAGACTCTAATATTCACACACCATGCAGATAAAATAGAAATAAAATCGTTTTTTTTTTATCTGCTTTACCTAAATAATATTCTTCTTTAAGTAAATTCATCTTTTATGATATTTTGGATTAGTTGAAAAAATCATTATTAGTAACTATACTATGATTTTATATAAAAATATTGAAAGCAAACTAAGGTATTCCATAAATTCATTGAAAATTGTAAAAATTCTCTTCATAATTATATAATCGTAAATGAAATAATGATTGAATTTTAAAAATACATGGCAAATCTCCATAAAAATTATCGTACTATATACTAGTTTTCCAATATCAAATTATATTGAATTTCTTATTAAAAACCAAAGTAATCTGACAAATTAAATAAAAATTTATTTATTTATTTGTTTTTAAATATTGTTTTTAATCATATGCATCACATTATAATTGAGAAAAATATATCCTTTATTTTTTGTTCCTTTTATCATTCTTTTCATAATTAACAACAATAATTTTTGCAAATTTTTCCAGTATTTCTTTATACATATCCCATATGATTGATATAATAAGATATAATACTTTTTATGGCAAACTTCAATATTTTTATAAAATGCAGAGTGGTTTTATCTGTTCCTGGAATGTCAATTATACCGCTATACCAACTGAGGATTAAATTAATATTTAAAATTATAATTCTAAAACAGTATATTTATTTTTCTAAATTAGGACTTCCGGTATCAACAACAAAAGAAGATCTTGAAGAAATTTGCAAGGTTTACGGAGTGTTGAAAGAAGTTCGTATAGTTACTTACCGTAATGGCCATTCTAAAGGATTGGCTTACGTTGAATTTGAGGATGAAAGTACTGCTGCAAAAGCACTTCTAGCTATTGATGGAATGAAAATCGGTGACAAAGTAATTAGTGTAGCCATAAGCCAACCGCCTGAACGCAAGAAGGCTCCCGTCAAATCTCTAGGTGGTACTACAGTAAGCAGAACTACATTTGGTATGCCCAAAACATTATTATCTATGGTACCTCGTACTGTCAAAACCGCTGCTACTAACGGCAGTGCAACTGTGAATGGGAATGGTGTTGCACCAAAGATGAGTAACGAAGATTTTAGAAATATGTTATTGAATAAAAAATAATTTACTACAACATTACTGATTTCTTAAATCCTTGTTTGTTTAAAGAGCTCATTAAGTTTTAAAATACGTATGTATTATATATTTCACAAGAATGTCATGTCTAGAACTCGATACATAGTAAAAAAGTTATCTTGTGAATTATTTTTTCTCAACGTATTTTGAAGACTTTATTATTAAGACGAAAAAGAAGAAGAAGAAAATGAAAGGGAAACTAAGAACCACAAATTCTTAAAAAATAAATATGTTTAATGTAAATTTATATATACAAGATGAAAATGTGTGTGCAAGTGAACGCATATTATTCTAAACGCAGAACTTTGTCATCACAGTGTCGTGAAGATACTTTTCTCGTACAAATATGTATGACAGAAAAATCGTCCAAATTATTACAAGTGAAAAAATGAATAGAAGAAATTGCATCGTAAATAATAAATCAGGGTGGCCATTTCTCTCGATATTAAACGAGAATTCTTCTTCCTTCTTTAAAATATGTTGAAAGAATGTTGTCAAAACAGCTGTTTGCAAAACTATTATTACAGGGTCACACAATACCCTTTTGTGGTCACCTACACGTCAAGTACAAATATCCTTCTACAATTGCAGTGGTGCATTAAACGTGTTGTGTTTTTTATGCCTCGGTGGAGCGACAGGTGGACTTTCAGGTGTCAACAACCGTCTTTCCATAAGCCATTTTTTGGCTCGGCCAGAATGATAATAATACGAGTAAAGCAACGCCATAGCCGCCAGCACAACTAGCAGGCTCGTACCAGCGATAATGATACTGAATAACCAATATGGCCCACTTGATTCTGGCACCAATGTTGGTTCTGTCGGCGATTTTTCTCCTGGAATCGACTTCGTTGGTGGTTTTTCGGGTGATTCAGGTAGAAGAGGCTCTACGTCATCTCCGATGGTAATGTCGGCGCAAGAACGAAATTCTTCTTGAGGGCCACAACCTACAGCACCTGTATGGACACAATGTTCGTATACTTTTCTAATTTCAACTTTTAGTTGAAACTAATATATTGAATTCCTTTTTTATAATTTGTGTATTTGTCACTTTTATATCTTTATTTTATACTAAAATTATCTTGCAAAGATAGAGCACTCGTAATTCACTATATATAATGATATATTATATTTTAACGTTTCAATTATTTCTCTGGTTTATTTTCGATACATTGAAATTTGATTGCAAATAATGTTGTAGATAAAACTGATAAATAATACTGGAATATATGTTTAAGGAACATAATATTATATATTATTATAATAATATTATATAATTATAAATTTGTGTTTAAGAAATACGAGATAGGAATATTATAAATAACTTTAAGATAGTATTTGTACATGAGGTTTGAAAATAAAAAGTGGTTGCTTAAAGATAAACCTCGATGAATATTAATAGCTATAATACAGTTATGTATGTGATAAGTAATGTTTATTACGTAATAAAAATTGAAACTTTCCATCGATACTTCAATAGCATACTAATATTATTATGTGTAATAAAAATTACCTGTTAATAAAATATATATACTTTTAACTAAAAAATATTTGTTACTATTCTTGAAAAAATAAAATACAAAATTTTATAAACTTTCATTTATAGAAAATTAAAAAAATGTTATTTGCAATTTATAATAGAATGTTCCATCTTTTGCAACTAACAATCTAGGAGTTAGATCACTTTGGACTGTCCAAAAATAGATAAAATTTTACGAATTGTTTTCATTATTAATTTTCATTATTAATTACTAAAGCGAAAAATTTCAATGTTTTTGAGGATCATAAATGCAACTTTACATTTTTAAACATTTTAACATTTACAATTTTAAATTATACAAATACAATTATTAAATTATTAAAAAATGACAGAATAGTTTCAAAATTTCATTGTCTAGAACATTTATTGCTGGTCGCCATTTCTGCAAATGACTGATACATCTAAAGAAATTCCTACTGATTTACAGATATAAATATACTATTTAAAACAACGAATAGGGATCTTGAAAAATATGAATTATTGCAGAAACGACAACAGTTTGAAATAAAAAAAAAAGAAATAATTCTTACCAGCAAAAATAAACTTTAAATAATTAAATAATTGCGATGTTGAAAAAGTCATATGTTACATTTTGGATAACTTCAGACGTAAATCAATAAAAATCTTTTATTTTGGACTTTCCAATCTTTTGCAATGAGAGTGACCAATAATCGAAACGAGATTTTCGAAGTTAACAAGTTAACTTCACCATCTTGTAACATTTTGACTTTAAAAGAATTGAAATATAAAACTGAAGATCACATTTATATACCTCAAAAAAAATTAAAACTTTTCATTTAATAATTATGTAAATTTTATCTATTTTTCGATAGCTCTGAATGATCTACTTCTTCATAGTCATCACAAAAAGATAGTGTTCGTCTTGATGTCGATTATAATGCCATAAAGTCAAAAAAACTATCATTTAGGAAATCAAGATAACTTTCATCTTTATATTCAACGAAATATTTTTTCATAGTTTCCATAGTTGTAATTTATTGCTGACTAAATATTGATTAACTTCTGGTTGGAACATTTTTTCAACAGTTTATCAGAGGTTCTTAAAAATCGTAGGAACTGTATATATCCCATATATTAACGATTTAATCGTATTCATCTCTCCAAATAAACTTTTATCTATATTTGCTGAAATTCAATAATCTATGCACCATTTCTACATCACTAGAAATCCCTTCAATGTCTATATGAAATTTAAGCTCTTATTGCAAACAGTGTTTTTCAGACATGCATCCTGTCGATTAAAATAAAAACCAATTAACTCTTTGAGTGTTTAGTCCGTACTAGAATACACTGTATAATATAGACGATTTTATAATCAATGATAAGGTAATTGATTTACTTGTTAGATGGTCAAGAACAATAACATGTCACAATACACTGAATAAATATATCAAAAGATATAATGCTTAAAGACGAATGCATTCTGAATTTGTTACACGTCCCAGGTCAACGTTCATCCTGAAATTAAGTGAAACAGAAGTTTCGTGCCATTGAAATACTTTTGTCCAAAGACAGCAGCAGCTATCTTTCAACGAAACGCTGTTCACATTTGAATTTCGAGAGCGCGAGCTCAATACTGCCGACGAGAAAATGGTGAAAACAGCGTACAATACCTGTTCCGTTTCCACAGTCGCCCCAATTATTTCCAGCCACGTATCTCCATTGAAAGACGCATTGAGCGCAAGTCAGGTCGTCTGGCAATTTGTAGAAAGCTTCGAAAATCTTGTTCCCCGGCCCGGGATAATATCTAATCGATCCGTTCTTCGAGCGTAGCAGGTGCTGGTCCAGACATCCCTGATCGACTTCTTTGCCCTTGTAGGTCATCGCACACGTACGAAACTCAAAGTAGCCATGATGATTCGCCGTAAGTTCCACACGGACCGGTATCACCGAACCTGTTCGATATTTCCTTACTATCACTCCGTTTCCGTATTTGCCACCGGTCTCGTGCAGTCGAGGCTGCAACAGGAAAATTTTTTTCCTCAGTTGCAAGACAGTTTTTTAGAAAGTTCTCTCGAAAACATACTCGAATACTCGTTGCGTGTTTGTCAGTTTTTATTATTTAGTTTTTATTATTTAGAAAATAGTATTTGCCACATAGGGACGTATCAATTGTTGATAATTTAAATTATTACAGCTTTGTAAGCTTTAATAATTTATTAAAAAAATATAATATATTACTAAATATACTTTAATAATATATTACTAAAAAAATCATACAACTCTACATTGAAAGTCCTGAGTTCGTTTTTTTTTTTTTTTTTTTTTTTCAGAGATGATTTTACATCACGCTGCGGATGGAAAGTAAGAATACTTCAAGAATTATAAAAATTTAAACGCATGTTTAAAAACATTGAAAAATATGTTTAAAGATTGAAATTTCCTTAGAAGTTGCTATGCATTTTTTTTTCACTGTTTTATTGAACTTTAAATATTAGAGAAAAATTTAAAAAATCCTAACATTTCGTCATCTAACTCTAATGTTCAAAATTTAATAAAATAATGAGAGAAAAAGTCGTACAGCAAGTTTTAAGTAGTTATTATAAAGAGGCAATTTCTTTAATATTGTTTGAATTTTTCAAACACAAATCTCGAGAAAATAGTATCCTCACTTTCCCACATGCTACACGATGTAAAACCATCTTTAAAAAGAATTCAGGATTGTCAAAGTAAAATTTGAAAAATGAAATTAAACTTCTTTTACAAAGTTTAAATTATCAACAATTTTTCATCGAGGAGTTGTACATCTTCGCTGGATTTCCTAATTATTTTTAATTATTATTTTAAGGTATAAATATATAAAACATATGTACACAAATATTTGCTTTCTATAGAAAATTTACTACATTTACAAAATGTAGAATTACAGTTGCCAACTTACTTCCAAGTCCTACCAAAAGTTTGAACTTCAAATTGAAGATTGTAAAATTCCGACAAGAAACTTTATACGAAAAGTAAATGATGCATGTGACATGTTAGCAAGGCTAACTCTGGCAAGTCATAATATATGTCGGTTCCGTGAAAAGTATTACAAAAATATGATCGTAAAATTCGCAATAGTTAGATCCGGTTAATTGGTGGAATGAAATGGAAATTTAGAGTAATGCAAGTAAGTGATAAAGAGTTTCAACGCGATTAAACTCTTTATAATCAATTAGGACAGTTGGAGGATCTTTTGGATAATGATAAATTTATGAAGGGTACAAACGAATATCTTTGGAGGATCAAGGATTAAATTGCATATATAATAATATTATTATTCTTTGTAAATTTTTTGCTGTAGTGTATAATTTCTTAAAATGAGTTTCCTTTACTATAAGAGTAAAGTAAGAAATGATGATTCGTTTCATTCATTTATTAAAAATATGAATGTGTAAATGTAATTAACAATAAAAACGTGCATATATTTATGCATATTTAACCGTTGAATTTAATTATTCAGTTTAATCAATTTTCATTGCCATAATAATAAAGTCCATTTTTGTTCCCTACAAATTCATTCAACTACAAAATTCACTTAAATTACAAAATTCGTATAGCCATCTCGCAACGAAGGTGAAAAATCACAGAAAGTGAAATAAACTGAATTTAATTGGACAAACCGCAGAATGTAAAGTAAAGCAATTCTCGTACGTTGAATGTAAAAAATTGCATTACGTTATTCTTTTCTTCAATTCTCGTTGCTTAATTTCTGCTTCCTCTCTTCTATTTCGATGTTTGACAATTAAACAAGAAATTTCAGGTTTGTAAGTTTGCAAGGTGTATTTTTCGGGTTGGTGTTGAAACACGTGGTGTTGTTGCAACGGGTGTATGTCCGCCCGACAGACCGGAAAACCGCAAATAGTAATTTATTCCGTGTTGCAAGAATGTTGCCAGGAGATAATTACACGAACTTTACAATGGAATCGTCTCGTTTGACGCATCTTCCTTCCTTTCGTTCATGCAATTTAATGTTTCTTCCTAAATTTAATGCTTAATACAGTGGTTTACTTTTTTGTTCTGCTTTTCACTGTTATGTGTATATAATAATATTATAGTATATGGTCTAATAGTATTATAGTATGTACTATACTGTAATATTATAGTATAGTATATGGTCGAGTAATAGTAATAGTAATAGTATATGGTCTAATAGTATATGTACTATACTGTAATATTATAGTATAGTATATGGTCGAGTAATAGTAATAGTATATGGTCTAATAGTATTATAGTATGTACTATACTGTAATATTATAGTATAGTATATGGTCGAGTAATAGTAATAGTAATAGTATATGGTCTAATAGTATATGTACTATACTGTAATATTATAGTATAGTATATGGTCGAGTAATAGTAATAGTATATGGTCTAATAGTATTATAGTATGTACTATACTGTAATATTATAGTATAGTATATGGTCGAGTAATAGTAATAGTATATGGTCTAATAGTATTATAGTATATACTATACTATAATATTATAGTATAGTATATGGTCGAAAGATACGGGGGACGTGATCTTTATTTAACAATTGTAATTACGTTGAATTAATTTGTTACGATGCGTAATGAATGTAAAAATGTGTCGTGGTTAAAAGGGGGAAAAAAGGGAATTCCACGAGGAAAGGAAAGCTCTTTAAACGATTCAATTTTTTCCCTCTGTCACCCCTTTTTTTTCTGTTTGCAAGCAAAAGAGGCATAGCTTGTCCCAGTTACGTGACTAAAACCTCGTATATATTTCGCTGGATTCTTCGTTGAAACATCTCTGATTTTCAGGTAAACTAAAAAATAGACCAAAATAAAAACAACTGTTCGGGGTAAAATAAATTTACTTGTCCTAAATATAATTACCGTAATTATGTCGCCAAAGCAGATTAAGTGATAAGTCGCGAACGAGAAGAGAACCAGAATAAAAGTTGTAATACTTATGAAAAGAGTTGAAACTTGAAAGAAAAAGAGTCAAATTATTGATCTTCTAATAAATCTTCTTCCATTTCATCTCCCACCGTTATTACGGCGAATCAATTTAATACGTCAAATAAGTTTCGTAATACGTAAGCTGAAGTAGAAAACATGGTGCATGAAATTGATCGATGGCACACAATAACGATAAAAGATATTTCGGTCCTATGATCAGTTATTTCTCGAATAGTTTCCAATATCGATGCACGATTAATGTAATATATCGTTACTCGGATCATTTGTCCTCCAGCTGTGCTTCCTTATAAGAGTTTCAAATGCTTCTTTAATACAGTTAGATTCTAGTTCGTGTGGGAGTTAAGGCTTCCTGGAAAAGTCCCGTTAGGTAAATTTCAATTCAAATCGAAAATTTCAATATCGCGTGAGTCGCGCGAGAACAGGGGATTTACCATTTTTATCGGGATACCGATACGACATTCGATTAACACATTCAAATCACGAATGGAGAACTACGGTCTTTGTGTTTAAAAAATCTTTTTTATTTATTTTATTTATTATTTTATATTTATATTTATATTTGTATTATGTTTATTTTTTATTATTACAGTAAAACGAGTTCTGAAACTACAATGATACATCGATAATAAAAATATAATAACAGAAATTTGAAATAACACGTAGGTAATAAAAGTATGGCAAAAGAAACAAATTTATTTCATCCCTTTCCATGATGAGGTTGGAAAATCGATTGGAGCTCGAATGTGTTGAAATTTTTTCTTGTACAAAAGAACTAGACTATTGACGGATTTTTATAGGAAATTTCAAAATTATACAAACTGCATGTACGTATGAAACATATATGAAACATTCAAAGTTTAGTTATTTCCTACAATAATTAAAACATATGAAAATATGCGAATTTTTAATCGCAGTTTCTTTTTGTAATTATGTTCTGAGAAATATAAATTCATATAAAATCCTATGTATAATTACAAGAGTTAATTGTTAAAATTTTCTTATTTTAAATGTAATAACTTCATAATGTAATATGACACTGCTCATTTACAATAAGCTATAATGTTAAAATTGTAACATATAAAATGTCCAATTTCATTTAAGTATACGTTAGCGTAATTTGAATACAATGTTCTTAGAATTAAATAGACCAATAGGACTATCGTTCAAAATTTGTTGATGAGAATCATCTTACAACTAATCTTTGAATGAAATTAATGTTAACTATAATTTTCTGAATAAGTTATGTCATACGTAATGATACACTCATATATATCTATCTATAATATTTAAAAATAACTGAATATTATAATTACGTGAGAATTTAGCTTCATTGTATATTTTATCTTCGTTGAATTTTTTTCAGGTGAAGTGCAAATGTAATTCAAACTTGTAACACAATTATGTTAATTACATGTATTAAAATCAACTTCTGATACATCTGAATTTTAAACTAGAAGATTTTAAACTAGACTTTTTTTCATCTATCCAGGAAGTTTACTTGAATTGCTTGTTTTTTTCGTTGCTAAACTAATTTTTCTCAGGTAACATTACAGTTCATATTGCATGCTTTAGAATAAGTTGATATTGGAGACGTGTGAGGAAATGAAAAATACATGAAAGCTCTTTCTAAACCTCGAACATTCATTCTTTTTTCATTCAGCGAAGAATATCTGCTACTAAATACGAGAGATGAATTGGAAACCAATCCTTTTAAATTCTCGAAACTCGAATGAGAAACTTGGCAAGGGTTTCAAAACTCTCGAAACTTTCGAAACTCGAAATTCTCGGAATTTGAAGTGTTGATTTTATTTTGTACGAGAAATTTCTTGTTTCAAGAACTGGTCAGTCAGTTTTATATAAATTTTTATTGTTAAACAAAATACAGTTAAACAAAATATAAATAAAACAATAGTTTAATCCAGATTCCTTTTAAAAATACTACGTCCAAACTTTTTCTGGATTTAATCTATTTCTTTTTCCATCGACTATAATGCCAAATATACTGAAAAGTGTTTCAGAGTCTACCGTTGATGATGATATAGTAAAATATTTTTTTGGGCAATTTTTTTCAATTCAGATATTTTACATTATCCGTTTCAGAATTACGATTGATCGCATATCTGTTTGTATCATTAAAAATAAAAACCAATCATCGAGCGTTCATGAAGCATCGAACATTCGAGATATACAGGAATCAAGTATTCTTTATTCATGCTGTGAATGATTCTTTATTCATTGATTTTACACTTTTTGTCATCTGAGTTTCGAGAAATTTCGAGTAATCAATTATTAAATGAAACGTATTAAATGTGTATCTTTAAATTATAAACAGGTAATTATGTACGCAGAGTGCGTTCGAATAATACGTACAAGCGAGCATGCGGTGATTATTTGCGAGAAAAATAGAAAAAATTTTTTTCTATTTGAGATTTAGTTTCCGACGAAATCGAATTTGAAAATTCATTTCATACGTGTGCAGCTACAGCTTAGACACAGCTTTTCGAGTGGCATATTTCATTTGTTGTATTTGTATGCAATATCTACGCGACTTTTACAGACGAATAATTGAAATTTTTAAAATTGAAATCAATTATAATTATATAGTTGACAAAGCAACTTTGTTGTACTTTTTTAAAGTAATTCATAAAAGAACTGTATACTATCAGATTAAATTTCTAGAGAAGAAAAATTTTATTCAATATTTGTTTCTAAGCTTTAGCTTCAGTCTGTATTTGTTTCAAGGAAAATCATCTCATGCTCACAGCTTCTCCATTAAGTAAAAAATTATTTCTTGAGTATTTTCGAAACAAGAAATATTTTTCGTACAAATATATTTTAGCCCTTCCTAACTATAATTTCGTAGAAAATTGTGGGTCTTTCGTGTACTATTAATAGTAGTTAAACGGCTTCAAAATTCGCATAAACGCGAAAAGGATGGTAAGCAACCTATTAAGGAATTTCTGCATGTTCTCAAATTGAGTTATCTTTGATATAAACTTCTCGTAAAATTGGCAATTAACTTCACGTTGACAATGTATTACAAATTTCCTTCATATTACATCTCACTTCGAAATAAGCTGTATCCTGCCAGAAATAAAATAACGATTTAAGATATTTGTGAAAACTGGCAATAACGTGATACGCAAAATTTATTTACTTTTTTTTAAATTAATTACTTATAATTGCATCTATACCTTTAATTAACGAATCAGCTGAAATTATAATTGAGCATTATAAAAATTGCAAATAAGTGAAAAGTTATTATAATGAGATACATATATTAAAATAGATTAGAAGCTTTTTAAATTTCTATATAATAGTGCCAGCAAAAAGTTTGGATATATTCTTATTGCATATTTATTTCATATTGATAATTAATATAATATTTCGTTACGTGATAATTATTGCATACTTTTTTTACTATATATATTCAAACATATTCATTTCATAATATATAAAATGAAGTCAGTGTTGATATAAAACGTGTATATTGGTAAAAGATCTATTATACGTGTAGACTAATTTTTTGTCAATAAACTACAAATTATTATAATAATAATAAACTATACTAATAATATAATTTTATAATTATAAAATATTAACATTATGAACAATTGAATCTTCAGAGAAATTTATAATTAATTATTCTGAGGAAAATAATTTTCACAATAATATTAATTGTATCTTTTCAAATTAATTTGGACTGAATTCTAAATTAAATCATAATATTTATTTATGTATAAATTAATTTTTCAAGATTATATGCTACTTAGTAACAACATGGGAAAAGAAAACTAGCTAGAACAATACAGGTATATAGAAATCTACAAATATAGAGAACTTATTCCATGATGAATGTATTGTATTGGTTCATATAATTTTATCTCCAATTTACATATGGTACAAGCTGTGACTTTTGACTGATAGGCAAATTTAAAATTCTTATAGATGTAATTTTTAAATATTTTTATTTTTATTTATTTATTTATTTTTATTTATTTTTTATTTGTTTATTTATTTTTATTTATTTGTTTAAATATTATGATACCATTTAAGTGATTATTGCACTAATTTTATTATACCTAAAAATTAAAATTAAGTTAAATTTTTAAATTAATCTTTAATTAAGAATCACCTAATAATTCTTAATTTAGGCCAGTAGGAATTACTTTCTATTGCTTTCTTTAAGTATATTTCATCCGAAACAAACGTGAAGTTAACTTTAGAAAACTACAAAGTTTTATTAATTATATTAATATATATATAATTATTAAATTATATTAATATATATATTAAATTATATATATAATTATATATATAATTATTAAATTATATATATCAATTATATTAATATATTTATAATTATTAAAAAAAATTTTTTAATTTTAATAAATTAATTATGATGATTAAATTAGTAATTAAATATTTATGTATAATAAATTAATAATTAACACACACATATATATATATATATATATATATATATATAAGGAATTAGGCAAAATAGATACATTCACCTGTTTATCAACATGTCTCATTGAAAATAATTTTAAGTCGATCTGCCCAATGAATAATTTAATATAATTAAACAATATAATTAAAACTATACAAAAGTAGCACTATATTATAAAATATATTATTGCTAAAAAATACTATTATTGAATTGAAATTCAAAAATTTTAATATTAATGCCTAAGATGGAAAAGTGTTTCTAAACCAAAAAAAAAAAGTCGAAATGTTAAAATTTATCTTACGCGTTATACGGGACTGTTTATTGCATTGTATGAATTAGGCGTTATGCGGGAATCCATATATTGTTATCGAGCTAATTTTGCAAAAAGTTCGTGTCTTACCGTTGGTGTGTCCCAAGCATCGCCACATATTCCGCACTTTCCCTTATTTCGTTGCCATTGCCTAGTAAATCCTCCGCAATAGCATTCGTGGTCGTTGTAGTCGTGTGGAGTATCGAAACCGTATCTCCACATCGAAGCCCTCGATGGTGGTTCTATCAGTCTTCCATGGGCTGAAACTTGCCTCGCCACTAGTACACTCACGAAAAATATCAAACTACAAATTTGGAGGCGCATAGTTGTAGCGATAAAATCTGGCCCCTGGAAATCACAAGCATATTATTTCGTTGTATTATTATATATATATAAATAGTAGTTTCCTATTGTATAAATAGAGTAGATTAGTTAGTTGTTCAAACTGATTGAATAATCGAACAATTCTATTATGTATGAAATATAAGAAATTATTTATTTTAGAAATAGAAATTCTAGATAGAAAAAATAAAATGCATATAGAATAAAATTTTTTTTTCACGTGACATCTCAAAGAAAGAACGAGTTTGAATATTTGTCAAATGTATACTTGAATTAGGCTATTAATTGAATAATTGACAGAAAGTTATTCTACGTGCTATAATAAAATAAGCAAAATTGTAGAATTGTGAAATAAAATTTGTTTCCAAGAAAGATAAATTTCAAAATATATCAAATACACGTGTATTTAGGCAACTTTTAAAAATTTGTTTGAAAACGAAGTCTTAAAGTGAAAAATTTTATTTCACGTTTTTTCATTTATTCTTGCACGTACGTCCGAGTAATTGTTAAAATTTTTAATATCAATTTTCTTGAAAAGAAAATGTCTTAAGTAAAAAAATGTTATTCTTTCTTCTTTGACAGAAGAATGCAGTATTTATCCTCTTCTCGGTTGTACCATAGAAACTAGAACGCTCTTTGCAGCTACTAAATTAAATTCTTTGTTACTTTGACTTCTGCTTCTGTTTCTTCATTATTTTTACAAGCTTACTTTATTATTTTTATCCTTAAATTTTCTATTAATCAATGCTTTAATAATTACAATCAAGATTTTACTGTACTTAATATTATTTTTATTATTTTATTATTATTAGAAGATTTTTGCTTGTAACGAAAATAACATGTGCACATCTTGCGAAAAACAATTGTATGAAATAAGAGTAACTGCTTCTTGAAAATGAAGCTTAACAAAATATCAAATTGAAAATCAAACAAAAAATACAAAAATACACACATACAATGACAACTGCAAATCCAAATTTTACATTGCTTCATTATTATTGGTTTTCCATAAATATTTATTGTGTCTGAGTTATTGTATTATTCACTCTAATGGTATGAATTTGAAGGCTAAGCCCAATATTCTTTTTTGTATTTCAAATTTTTAATAAATGACTCACAGCAAGTGTAAAAAGTATTCATTATACTTCGTGAATTACCGATATTTTAAACTGTCATAGCTTTTGTGAGATCGTAAAATAATCCAATTGGACTCATTTTATTTAAAGCATGAAGTTTCTACTTCTACAATACTGAGCTCGTTGTCTTCAAAGATGTTTTTACATTAAAAGAATAAGTAAAGTCTCTCTCAAAAATTTTGCAAACTCGAACAGTTTTATAAACACTGAGTAATTTTTTTTTCATAAATAAAACCACTGGTTTTGAAAATTGAAATTTCCTTTTTACAACGATCATTTAAAAATTTGTTACAAACGTTTAAAGTACAAAATAACAATATAAGGGTTCAAAATATCGACAAGTATTTTTTACATTTACTATATATTTATATAATATAATTTTATTATGTCCATAGAATAAATTGATCAAGTTTGGCTAGAAAACCTTGAGATATTCCATGTATTTTCAATGTATTATGTATAATCATTTTTCTTTTTCCAATATAACGTATAAATAATAGGAGGTCCATAAAAAATAACAATGCGTTTGATTTTCGTTATTATAAAATCTGAAAGAATTTCAATCTTTTATCTAAAGGGCGCAAAGCCGGGAAAAAGCCCAATTACTTAAGAAATCACCTTTTTACAGATTAGCCAGCTATTCAGTTTCGAGAAAGAGAAATAAAAAAACTCTCGTAATTAAAACTTGCGTAATTAGCATCTACAAGTGACTGTAATGAAAAGTAATGTGTATATAAAACAAGCAGCTTTAAAAAAAAAAACTTGAAGTACCACTCTAAAGAAAAAAGTTTAAGAACATTTAAGATAATATTTTCATAGAGAAAACGAACACAAATTAAATTTCTAAAAATAAGGATCAATTCAAAACGTTCTACGTTCTAATATCTAAGATTATGCGATATCTATAAAAAAAAAAAGAATATAAGAGATATCTAAATTTTTTCTGAAACACGTAACTTCCTTTTCGACTAAGTTGACAAAAATAATCGTGAAGAAAAGAATTTTTGAAAAAAGCAAATATAAATAGAAACTATTATTGACAACAAAGCATATAAATCGAGGATGTCATTTACTTTTATAGCGTGAGCATATCAGAGTTTAACAAAGCGAATTTCAATCAAATCAATTCCAAGTAATTATCATAAAGTACGTGCGTTGATTTCGATAGATCGATAAGTCGGTCAATTAGAAAGTAAACAGTGACCAAGTAGATACACTGTGGTGATAGATATTCACCAAGATAAAATCGGCATTTATATTTGAAAATTTTTTAAATGTTTAAAACACTTTTAACCGCTCAACTATGGTTAACGTCAGTAAACATTGAGACAAAGTTTGCATAAAAAAAACACGGGTGACAAGTTGCGTCAATGTTTTCGTCTTTTTTTATTTATGTTTAAAGGCGCATAGGAAATATGTATTTCAAAGAAAAATAGTCTAAACAGAAATTTGTTCTCTCCATTAAATATTATAATAATCTACGTATTGTCATATTATACGCCCTACATATTTTCTACATTTTCACATTCTTCATTATTTTATAAAATTCGCAGTCTAGTTAGAAGCAACCGAAATAGAATTTCCCTTATCGATAACTATTATAAGCGACCGAAATAGAATTCCCCCGTCAATAATCGTTATTCGTTATCGAGGAAAAAATTTTCGGTCACTTATAATTATTATTTATAATCAGAACATTTAATTCTTTAATCACGCAGTTCTTTGAAAAATTTTCTTCGCTTTTCGCGATCGATATAATAAACAAACTGCATTCGCTGATTCTTTTTTATAAAAATTGATTTCTGTGTGTAATTTTGTTGTTAGTAATCGAAAAATGTTCTTATGAAATATTTCCATTCTAAATTGATATTTTCATAAACCGAAATAAGTATTCTTGAACTGAGCAGTAGAATTTACAATTGCAACTAATTGTAAATAATGAAAAAATATACACAGTTTCACAAATCATAAAATAACTCGTATAACGGTTACAAAATAACACAGTCACACTTTATAACGATATAAAGTTAACATAATTGTAAGATATATTCTTTTTTCTACGGTATATGTAGAAAAGTGTTTCGCAATTTTATGGTTTATCAAATATATTTACGAAAACACTAGAAAAAAAGGAATATTTATAGGGGAAAGAAAATTCCATGTATAAAAAATATGTTTGAAAAAGAAAAAGAACAAATAGACTCGAAAAATTTAGAACACAATTTAAAAATACATGAATGAATAGTTAATAAAAGTAGGCAACAAATAACAATATTAATACGCTATAGCATAATTTTTCACACGCGAATGAATCCCTACAAAGCTTCACTTGCCTCGAAATGAAAAAAAATAAACAGAAATCTGTCTCTGAATAAATGCGTAATAATAAATGACAGTTAATTCACTTCACTTCCCGATTTGACCAATTAAAAATTTACTTTATCCAGTATTCACCTTTGTTTCGTCGCCGTTAATTCGTTAAATGACCGAATACACGTTACAATAAAAATCAGAAACGCAATTTCTCGAAACACTTGACCTAACGCGGACATTTAAACACAAACGCGATAAAACGACAAGAAAGGGGAAACGAATTTTATTTCATCCTCGACAAAAGTTTCTTCTCGGCAAACAACCATAATTTTGTCGATTAAATTTCACTTTTGATGATGCGTAACGTTGCGATAATTTCATGTGCACAGCTGTCGCACGTCCGACCGCTAAAATATAATCGTTGTGGATTCGACGATTCAACGGGTTAACGAGGGAACAATGCGCGAAAACGATTGTGCAATTAATTGAATACGAGAAAGTGAACAACGTTGCGATTTAAACGAAGCTTTGGGACTGAACTGAACGACATTCCGAGTTGGAAGACAGCATCGAGGACCTACAACCACAAAGGAGAAACTGGCAAACCGGTTGCCACAACGACCGCGATCGCTTATAGTTTATACTGTGAGAGTGTGAAGCGTTATTCAGAAGTAAAGATTACCACCATAACAAACACTGATATCACGGAACTGTTGCGAATAATCTACTACTCTGTACAATGAAACTCGAGAGTTGGCTGGACACGTTTTTTTCGAAAATCATGCCTCGAGTGAGTACTTGCAATTGAAAATTAATTCGAAGAGTTGCAGCGAGACGAAAGCGATCGAAAGCGAGATAAATTGTCATTGTTCGGTCAGCGAAGAGCAGAAAGAAGGATGACCGATTGTAACGGTCGGTGAACTTGAAGTAGTAATTTTGAAACTGAATTGTACGTACATTTGCTTGAATTTAATGAATGTTAAATTTTAGGAAGTTTAGAAAGTAAAAATGATACAAGTGGTACAAAAATCTTTCATTTGCTTTCGAAGAAGAAAAGATTTTATCCATAAATTGATACCCTTCGTTGAAAGTCATTATTTGTTACAAAAGATATCCTTTATGTTCATTTCATATTCAAGGTTTGAAGGTTTCACGTAATAAAATTCTGTAAATAAATCGTGATTTTATCGTTTGATATAAAAAAATTATGTATTGTTCCCTGTGTTCATTTTGTTCTGAACCCTTAATTTATGATTATCATCAAATACTTCAATTTATTTTTAAAAAATATTAACTTCTTAATGAGCTTCGCTTTATTTAAATTATTATATTAAGTATATAATATCTTGTATTCTGTGACGAAATGGAACGAAGTTTCAGAAGATAAGCTGAAAGTGTAAAATTATATTTCAACGTAAAAACGAACTTTCATAATTTACCTGATGTGTGCTTTATATATCCAATTTTGTTTCTAAATGAAACTTCCAAAATGAAAACTGTCACGTCAAAAGTTTTTGATTGCCACTGTGAATCTTTAGTTATTTTACGTTCGGATCTACACGTTATACAACCTGTGCCAATAAAAAAAATCGGTACTTTTAAAAAGAATATTATTTCAATATTTTTTTCACGTCAAAGTATCTCTCTTTTTTCCTTACTTTAAGTTACGCAACATTATTATATTTCAATCGTTTTATGAATACAGTGAAATGAACGTAAAATGTGATTCACTTTCTTCTTAATTAATTATCGATTTTGTCTGACGTACTAATTATTTAGATGTGGAATAAAATTAAACAAAATATTTATTCAAATAAAAATCTTTTCATTCCCTATTTAACGTTGATAGTAAGAATACAAATACTCCGAATTTTTATTTACGAAAATACTTGAATCATTTTTATTTCAATAGTTTTGTACGATCTTTGAAATCCTTCAAAATCGAAGGTATCATTTTGTATCAAAATATTAATAGTGTTATTGATAGAAAAATTATTTCATACTGTATCAAATATTTACTATACTAAATATTCCTGTTTTCAATTAAGCACAATTAAAAACATTGAAATCTTTCGTGTAAGAGAATCCAATTAAAATCACTCATTCTAGTTTTTCACATATATTTCAAACAAACATAACAAAAGACTCCAATGTTTTTAAATACTTTAGATACTTAACGTTTATTCGGAAAACTTTCTGGAATAACATCAAGAAAGTGTTATTCTCTAAATATTTCATAGATTTTTTCGTATTACACTGCAATTTTGTACATTAAAATCTCGTACGAATGCATAAAAATCCGCAGTATCTATTAAATATTCATTAACAAAAGATTTATATTTCAACGATTCGAGGATCACATATCGAGACATAGCGAATATTTAATTTCGACTTGGGAAAAGGCGAGAAAATTCTAGAATATGAATCGAGAAAAATACACATGTGAACGCTCGATGCGAGGAAAAGAAACGGCACAGATTCGGCATACATTAAACTTAACGAAAAGTGTGAACTGCACGAGGCTGTCGCGATATCTCTCCTCGAGGTAAGAAAATTCAAAATCGCGTCCACCGTCCGGGTGAACGGGACGCGACCCGCGTGCAAATCGGAAGTTCCCCCGACGGAAATTCACCGCGTGTCGGGAAAATGGAAATTTAGTAGTGCAAACTAGGTTCCAGGGAAAACAAGCAAACCGAAGTCTCTCCATCCGTAGGGGCGGAGAGACGTAGGATCGATAAATGTAAAGCAGCTCGCGTTCTCGCCACCTCCTCTCGGAAATTCGAGATTCTGTGTTTGGGATTAATTAAAAAACGAAAAAAAAAAAAAGAAGAAGAGAGAGAAAGTCCGGAATATCGCTTTGCCAGCCAAGCGAAATCTGTCTTAAGAACGTGCATACGCCGTGCATGGGAAATGTTTGCTGGTAATTAGAAGTCGAGCAGGAGGAAAAAGGAACAGCGGGGCAAGATAAATTTGAAGAGTGAAGCGTCTAGTAGTCGAACCGATGAAAGCTTGCCTGTTTTAATTAAGGGGGCAGGACAGTTTGACGGGACTAAAAATTACAAATACTTTGGAGGGCTGGTAAAACAGACGTACATGTTTGATTGACGTGAGCCTTTGTGCTTTATTTTAACACATTATGAACTATAAAAAGCAACATTAAAAGGGGAAAAAAGACGGCTCTTATTTAACTTTTTAACATTTTCTTTCTCTATCGCCTATCGGTGTGCATGATTCCAGCGAAACAGGATTAGTTGCAACAAAAAGGTAAAAAAAGTTCAAAAGTAAACAATATTCTCTAGGGATTGACGATCCAACATTTTCATTTCTATGAAAATTATGAAAGTAGTTTTTTTGTTTATATTTTTCGAAATTGTTAAAAATTAAAAAATGTTCGATCGTCAATCCCTAGTAAATGTTACACTAAAGATACGTATCAGGTTTCACAGTAATCGGTTAGTTAGATTCCGAGATATCTTGCACACCGTTTCTAAAAACCTAGTTTCGAGAAAAACGCGTTTAAAGTTTCAGAACGTCATTTTTCATATGTATCCTTTACTTACTTTTTTTACTTATATATCATGGCTCTTGCAGTTCTTGCAATTCACAACTAAATTGAATCCAAGTCCCCTAATATTCGATTCACCAAAAGTAATATTTGAATCACACGATTTACACCTTATAATATTGCTCAAAGTTGTAAATAGTGATACAAATTCAATTATTCTCTGTCTACACTTTATAATAATTATATAATTATTCTCTATTTACACTTTATAATACTGCTCAAAGTTGTAAATAGTGATACAAATTCAATTATTCTCTACCTACATTTTACAATAATTATATAATTATATAATTATTCTCTATTTACACTTTATAATACTGCTCAAAGTTGTAAATATTGATACAAATTCAATTATTCTCTACCTACACTTTATAATAATTATATAATTATATAATGATTCTCTATTTACACTTTATAATACTGCTCAAAGTTGTAAATAGTGATACAAATTCAATTATTCTCTATCTGCGGATTTATTATTATAAATAAAACGTTTTAAAGGCTAGGATTTTGTATCTTATTTCCAAGGCTTCAAACTACTATTTAAAACAAAACAAAAAAAGAAATCGATTTTTTTGAAAATTTCAAACTGTCCTGACGGCCGACGATTGCACAAGGGAAAGATACTTTCACAGACAAAACGTAGCAAAATGGTAGCGAGGATGTGGATCGATGCAACAAATCGGTTCTAGCGCACCGGGTTAACAATGCATAATGCTTAATCATAAGTTTCGAATAACGCGTTAACTGGTATGTAGGTCAACGGCGAGGTGCAACGAGAGTTAAAATTGCTCCTCTCTCTTCCTCTCTTTTTTTTCCTCCCTATATATGTGTATTCCGTATTCCGAGAATGAGAATGAATGGTATTCATTAGAATTTGCTATTTCATGTTATTTAGTAATCTCGTACGGAAGTTTCTCCCGTGAAAATATGTACGATTATGGAAGAACGTTGTGATGTACTTTTATTAATTAATTAAACTGCATTAAGGTTGAACAAATTGTCGTACATTTTCTATATTATGCCACGTGTATATTCGTATGACGCACCCATTTGACCTTTTACGATAATTATCTATCTAAAATCAACAATCGATATTTGAAAGCTGGTGCTGATAAAAGTGCGTTGGAAAACCTAAATGTCTTTCGACACCACATACTCCGAGTATCGAGAAATAGAAATTAATCTACTGACTAAATTTTCTTTGGTAGATTTACTTTCCTATGTAAATAATTTACTATAGTTGTAAGGCAAATTGGTCGATATACTATCCTACACATCATTTTCTCTTATTTATTTTTCAGTAGTATAATAACTTGCAGAATTATCAAGTTACTGCAACAATATACTATTTCATTTATGTATTATTTTTATCAACACATTACACTACGATACACCAATATACAACTTTAGTTAATATCATCTGTTATCTCGCCTCATTTCTAATTATACTCATGCATTTCTCTGCATCTACTTTTCACACTTTATGTTATTAATGTACTGCTACTTGACTCATACGTCGCTTCATCGATAAACCCATTCTACACTTCTTTTCGTCAATAAATTGCACCAATAGATTACTCTGATACCAAAGTCACTATGTCGATATACTTCTTAAATAATTCTCAATTCATGTTTTATGTATAACGTGAGTATGTAAGATTATATATCATTGCAATTCGAAAGCCACTCTTATCCGTGCACTGTGCTTCTTGCAATCCTTTCTCTTTGCATGACAAAACCCTCCGACTATTTCACTCGACACACAGCTCTGCATGGCAACCGGAACTCAGGCACCGAACCGGTATTCAGGGTCAAAAGTCCCTGCTTGAGCACGTACCGTGTTCACGAAGGAAAAGAACGAAGGCCCAGCTCTGGCATCGGGCGTCAACGAGTCAGGCCCATGGAGAAGGCCCAGACCCCGGTCAGGCGACGACTGAACTCGACTTTGCTCGACGCGAACCGCGGTCCCCTCGGCCACGTGGGGAGTAGGTCATTAGAACGAGCAACTCGCTCGTATTCAC